GGATCACGTACACGACCACTATTTGCTATTGGATATTGGAATGTTTATGAACGAACTAAAAATCAACAGATGCGAACTAACAATTCAGCAGAGGCCTGGAACAGACGCATCAGTAGGTTTATAAATATAAAAAGAAAAGCGAATTTTTATATATGAATAATTTTCTGATTTCAGAATGTGTTTTTCAATGCTCACACCCGACGCTATGGAAATTTATTGAAAAAATTATATTAGAAGAAGATTCGAATATGCATAGCAAGGGCGTTCGAGGCAATGCTGGCGAACCAGTTAATAAAAAAAAGAAGTATCAATATCTTGATCAACGGTTATTTAATCTTGTTTCTAATCCTCATCAAAACAATATTGATCAAATTAATGCTATAGCACATAATATTGTTCTATAATTTTTTTTCTTGCTTTGTTTACATACTTAATTGTTGTATTTATGATCTTGAAATAAATACAGCAATTTTGTTTCTTCTGTTATCTCTTTGTACTCTCACTGTCTTTAGAAGTATCAATAATAATTACTATGAATTTTCATCTCGTGCGCAAATGATCCGTGCGCAAGTTTCCGTGCGTAAGTTTCGTCGTGCACAAGTTTCGTAGACCCGCTCATCAATGCGGACAGTGTCGAAGTTCATATTTTATGATAGGATTAACAAAAAGATCTGAAACTTTCAGAACAAACTACTCTTGCTAAGATCTATCTCTGTAAAAAGTTTCAAGTAGAAATTCGAAAATAAGTTTTTCGGGGTCCCTGAGGGGACTACAGCATTCTATTAAAAATTTCTGACATTTCTCAAGATTTTCTCCAGAAAACGGACAACATCTTAATAAACCAATATCAAGGCAGTTATACATTACTAAAGTACTTTCATTTTATAATGTTTCCAGAATGGGGGAAAATCTTTGATTTCTGACCACATCCTTTGAACTGAACCGAAAAAAAAAATTCTTTCAAATTTCATCTTTCATCAACGATCATAAAAACTATTTAATTTTCGTTTCAGCTTATTTGTGTTGCTTCAAACAATTCTCATATAGGTCATTGCTTTTGTTATAAAACACTCTATATCAGAAGGCTTCCTGTAAGAATGATGACTTAGGTGTGAGAGTAAATCATCCGGTAGATATTTACTTAATTAGAAAAGTGCTACTTTAGTCGATGCATTTAATTGAAACTATGCATAGTTTCCAAAGACGTATCTATAAATCCATGTGTTTTAATTATTATTTATTTTTAATTTATTCGTTTGAATAAAGAAATATTCATGTGGTATTAACTTTAATTTAACGATTATTATATAAATACTTCTCCTTAATTATCTCAAAACGAAAAGGCGAATAAACAGTTTCATATTTGTCATTTTCGGAAGCTAATTATAACGACATGAAGCATCTTGAGAACAATATTAATACAAAAGTTATAAGTTCAATCTCGATACTTTTCTTTTGC